GACGACCACGGTGACTAGCGACACCAGACCGGGACATATTTCACATCTGACTCAACCCCATGCAACAAACTTGATACTATGTGTTCATTATGGTCCATTCTTCCTCGAAGAACAAGTACATATATGGCAATTTAGTCAAAGACGAGAAAACAGCACAAGAAATTTGCCTTATTTACACGTATCGGCAATGCAAGCTGCCCAGCGACTTCCCCTTTTGACGTCACAAGGGGAATTTCTGTATGCAAATGAGAAGCTAATGAGGAGCCTCGTTTTAAAATACACAAAAATAAAGTTTCCGACTGAGTTAAAAACACATTTTTTCACTTAAAAAATTATTTATGCTTAGAAACATAAACATTAATAATATTTATGTATCAATGGATAATTTTAGGCGTGAAAATAGCAGCCATTTCACAGGCACTTTAATTTTGCTTATTTCGCTGATTGGAAAATGCGCTAAATTAAAACCCAGTGAATATGTAAAATTGAGCATGAAACACATTATCTAAATGATAAAACAGCAAATTTAAAACCCACTGAATATGCCTGAAATGCTAAATCAGTGAAATTTAAACCCAGTGAAAATTAGTCATTTTACAGTAATCAGGTCTTTAGCATTTTCCCAGGTTATACCAAGTATTATTGAAATGCGATAATTAGTTCTTGGGATATACATGTTGGCGGATAATTGGTTAACTATTTTGAAACATAGAAAATTGATATGCACAGATTTCAACATAAAACTAATCAGGTCTGTGGATTGTTCTGGGGCAAGTTTCATTAGAAAAGGATGATTATTGGTGGAAAAAATTAAAATTAAATTATTATGCAAATTTGGTAATTATTAGATGTATGTAAATCCAAAACTAATGAGGTCATTCATTATCCTAAAGCATTTATATACCAAAATTCATTAAAATAAGATGATTAGTACTTGAGATATTGGAAAATTCGATGAATTATTATGAAAATTAGGTAATTAATATGAACAGATTTAACCCAAAATTGATCTGATCTGTGCATTGTCCTAGAGAATTGATGTATCAAGTTTCATTGAAATGTGATGATTTGTTTTTGAGATATTGGTAAAAAAGCCAAATATTGACTATTATGCAAAAAAATGTGCAAATTTCAACCAAAAACTGGCCAGGACTGTGCATTGTCTATAGTATCTATGTACCACATTTCATAGAAATCTTACAAGCGGTTCTTAAGATATCAAGTTACATGTAATTAGTATGCAAATTTTCTAATAACTGGAGACTGTTATAAACTATAATCATTCATTGATTTATATTTAAATGGTTTATAATAAGTATGCTAATTAGCTAAATATGCTGCATAGAATGTTATAAACTTTTACTTTTAAAGTTTCAACCTATTTGAGTAAACTGTTTGCAAAGATATACAAATAACATGCTAAAACCAATTAATTATCATAAAAATGTGATATGTACATGCAATCCTAGTGGCATATAATTAAAGCTAAACTAACAAGTACAGAGAAAGTCAAGGTTTTACTCAATGTGAGAAAACCACATGATATCTGATTTTATACATACCATTAAAGGCGTCAATATACTGCTGTAATGTCTCGCACGAAATTCCACTGTATCCTTTAGCCAACACATTAATACGTAAAGCCATCAACATCCTCGTCTTCTGAATATTTAAGGGTTCTCCGACTCCTGCTGCATGGGATCTGATCAAGTTTTCCTGCAAATCACTATCATGTGGGAAGACAATTTGAAAGTTATGTAAGAGTGATGACACAAATTCAAAATAGATGTTCAATCATGATTTTTTCAAACTGAATATATTTGCTTTATTAGAAGCACATCTTCATAAGAAGTGCATGTAAAACAAAAATTTATCTTATACTGGATTATTTAAATATAAAATATTCATCAGTATTCATTCCTTTCTTGGCATTTATAAACTTAAAAGAATGTACGCCAAGAATAGACTACTGTACTGTACCATATTTATAAATAACTAAAATATTACTCAATTATAGATACAAGCAGCCTGTCGGCTGAGATAGCTCTGCTGTTAGCAATGCACATTGCAATTAAAGAACAGAAGATGTCATAAAACAAAGAACAATATGTATAGTTTCAAAGCAACAGGACTTACTGTTTTCAACAAGATTTCAAAAATATCACTTTTCACCAAAAATAATTAGCAAAATTAGATAATTGAAGATATCACCACGAAATTAACAAATCTGAAAGAGGTCCACATGTAGTACCTATATATGTAATATAAAAGCAATCAGACTTGCGGTTTTCAACAAGAAGTCAACAATATGACTTTTTACCAAAAATGACAAAAATATTCACCAAAATTAGAGAATTAAAGATATCATTACAAAATGAACAAATCTGAGAGAGGTCCACATGTAGTACCTATATATGTAATATCAAAGCAATTGGACTTGCGGTTTTTAACAAGAAGTCAAAAATATCACTTTTTACCAAAAATGACAAAAATATTCACCAAAATTAGAGAATTAAAGATATCATTACAAAATGAACAAATCTGAGAGAGGTCTACCCAAGGTACATATACACCAAGTATCAAAGCATTCAGGCTTGTAGTTTTCAAGAAGAAGTTGAAAAAGTAAAACATTGACACGGACGTCAGACGACGACGAACAATCACTCATATGATAAGCTCCGCTCGACAAAGTCGACAGCAGAGCTAAAAACTGCCGAAAAATTGCCCTGGGCGGTTTCTTGGTCCCATTTTATTTTTTTTAAGACCGAACAGCCGTTTAACAGCCCTGGGCGAATTTACGGCAGAATCCGGTAGTACCTATATACATGTATGTAATATCAAAGCAAATGGACTTGTGGTTTTTAACAAGAAGTCGAAAATATCACATTTTACCAAAAATATTCACCAAAATTAGAGAATTGAAGATATCATCATGAGATGAACAAATCTGAGAGAGGTCTACCCAAGGTACATATACACCAAGTATCAAAGCATTCAGGCTTGTCGTTTTCAAGAAGAAGTCAAAAAAGTAAAACATTGACACGGAAGACGACGATGACGGAAAATCACTCATATGATAAGCTCTGCTTGACAAAGTCGACAGCGAAGATTTTAAAGTTGTATTAAAAATAATATGGAGGTTCATGTAGTAGTTCACTGTAAAAATCCAAAGCAACATTTTCACTACATTGTTGCAATAAGTGACAAGATTTATGTTTAAAAAACTAAAGTTTTACTCCATCTACTGCAAGTTCAGTAGCCATTAATATAACAGGCGACTAATGAATTATGAAGTTTAACAACTATCTACTAACCAAGTACTGGACATAATTGCAGATTTATGACAAGTACTTTGTTGGTAGATACAAACTGTAGTTGTTAAAAATTTATTGAAAAACAATTTACAATACTTTATTTTACCACTATCACCAACATATGTATATTAAAACTTGACTTATTTCAACAGTGAACATTACCTTAACTTCTCAGTAGGAATCACTACACTGGCAAACTTCCCAAAACCAGTATTAATACCATAAGCCACTGAGGATAAAATATATCGTTGTTAAATGTTTTATAAGATTAAAGTAAATGTAACCCATTTTATATATCCAGGTATCAAAGACATAAAATAACTTTTTGAATAATTAGAGTAATTTTTACAAATTATTTCAGAAAGACTTAACAGCGATAAAGTGATATAAAAGAGATCGTTTGTTTGGAAAGAAATTAATTGACCTTTGTTTTTTCAACTAATTATAAAATAAATATTTTAAGAAAAATTGATATCTTGTATCACAATATTAATTATCACTTACAGAATGGTTCAACCCCTATCTAGTCAAGTCAATGTAAAAGTACATAGGGCTGGTAGGGTAAGGGTTAAACCTTATCTGGTCAAGTCAATGTAAAAGTATATAGGGCTGGTAGGGTAAGGGTTAAACCTTATCTAGTCAAGTCAATGTAAAAGTACATAGGGCTGGTAGGGTATGGGTTAAATTTTATCTGGTCAAGTCAATGTAAAAGTACATAGGGCTGGTAGGGTAAGGGTTAAACCTTATCTGGTCAAGTCAATGTAAAAGTATATAGGCTAGCAGGATAATGGGTTAAACCTTATCTGGTCAAGTCAATGTAAAAGTACATAGGGCTGGTAGGGTATGGGTTAAATTTTATCTGGTCAAGTCAATGTAAAAGTACATAGGGCTGGTAGGGTATGGGTTAAACCTTATCTGGTCAAGTCAATGTAAAAGTACATAGGGCTGGTAGGGTATGGGTTAAACCTTATCTGGTCAAGTCAATGTAAAAGTACATAGGCTAGCAGGATAATGGGTTAAACCTTATCTGGTCAAGTCAATGTAAAAGTATATAGAGCTAGCAAGATAAGGTTTACATGTATATTTGTAACAAAACATAAAGTCACAATCCCGGCATTGTATCAATGGGTAAAAATGTAACTGGCCCAGTCGTCATTCACAACCAATTTAGACTGGTTGTGACTTCTGGCCATTTAAATATTAGAATACCAGTAATCTGCAAGAGTTTTGTTTTATGAGAATTTGTTTTATGTAAATAATTTCAAATTTCATGACTACGATATCCATAATTTGGCAAATAAGAAATTAGACAATATCAAAAACTTTATAATGGCTCATCCCAGATAAGATGTACAAAGTTCTTTAGTAAAATCAAAATTTTATCAGCTATTCAGAGAAAAGAATCGGTCAAATTAAAGTCCGCCAAGAAGGTTATGTTTTCAGAAGCATTAATTAGTCTGTGAGCAACTTAGTTATGAAAGGATTCCTCTGAACTTATTCCCAGTGTGTTTTTTCTCAATGAACTCAAAATATTGGTGCTGATCCAGATCACTATATGGATCCAGCATGTTTTTCGAAGGATACTTTATCATTGCAAGAAAGGCCCATTTTTTAACTAATGTGCAGTGTTTTGCAAAAAATTACAGAATAAGATCGCAATTAATTCTATAAGATATCAAAGTAATCAAACACTGTAAGCCAACAAAAAAAAAAGTTACAGGCAACTATACACCAAATTGTAGCCCAAACTGTTTCTTTGCACAAAGGAAAACCCAAACTAACACTAAATTGTAGCCAAAACTGTTTATTTGCGCAAAGGAAAACCCAAACTAACAGCAAATTGTAGCCAAAACTGCTGAACGAGTACTGTGTCAACAGATTTGATGCATATTCAATGGTTACAGAGATTCATAATAACATTTTTGATGTAATAGTGATATAATTGTAAATGCTAAGTGTATGTTTTTATGGACACAGAAACTAAATAAAATGAAGGTAGGGACATTAAATTTAGGTGTAAGTCACAATATATGAGGATATGAACTGCTTGCCAGAGGTCTGTGTTCTCCAAGTGCTTTCTATTTCATCATAAGTCAAGTCATATTATAACAACTCATTGTCAATGATATAGTCCCTATTGTTATTATAGATTTTGCATAACTTAAAAATCGGTATCCATAATATGGACCGACATGTATGTGATATGGCTCTGTGGAACTGCAATTGTTCAAACAAGATGGCTGCCAGTCAACGATTAACAACTTGATGGTGAAAAAATGTATGTGCATTTGTATGGTATGATATCTGATGTATGTGTGAAGTTTGAACTTGATCGGTTGAAGAATTTTAAAGATGCATTATGTAATCAAGCCACTGAGAATGTCACAACCCCTTTTGTTCTTGTACATTATTAATACATGACAAATGAAATGTCAGCATGTATATGTATCAAGTATATGTACCAATTCTACTACTGAACTACTAGTAATTACTTGGACTGCCAGACAATTTAAAATGTGAATTTCTAATGTCTATGTTGGAAAAATGTAAACCATATATCGCAATTCCAATTATGGTGCATTGTGGGATAGTTATGTCAGATTGCAGGAGCAGACACACTTCATGATCGGCGGTGTAGTGTTTGATTCGATCATAACTATGCCACAATACACAATGATTTGGAATCGTGATATGGTCTATCATGGCTGCCAGTCAACCATGTTGGATTGTATTGTGACACAAATAAACTGTTGTTGATATGCTAGAACATAAATGTCTGTGAACCAAGTTTGGACATACTGTAAAATGACTAATTTTCACTGGGTTTAAATTCCGCTGAATAACCATTTCAGGCATATTTCAGTGGGTTTTAAATTCACGGTTTTATCATTTAGATAATGTGTTCTATGCCAAATTTTATAAATTCACTGGGTTTTAATTTAGCGCATTTTCCAGTCAGCAAAATAAGCGAAATTAAAACCCAGTGAATAATTACCCCCTTTACGGTAAGTGGACAGTGTGAACTTAAGATATAAGTACAAATGTGCAAACAATTTTTTTTCAAACAAAATGGCTGCTGTTCAGCCATATTGCATAGATTCTCGATAAAAATCTATGCTAACAAGAGTTACCCATATTCTAAATTTGAACAGAATTGGCCAGCACAATTTGGAGATAATGCTCTACACATAAATACATATAAAATGTAGGTTTTTAGACAATTTTTTTGTATCTGATAGAACAAAAATCTGTGGCATATGTATAACACCATGTACCAATCATGTACCAAGTTTGGGGAAAATCAGCCCATTGTTATCGTAAACAGGGGCTAAAAAATATGGCCACTAGTCGGTCGTTTTGAATCCAATCAAAAAAATAAAACAAAGTGCATCATGATCCCATTACGTTTCAATGCATGTACAAATTTTGAACAAAATCCCTCTTCGCATGACTGAGATCTGATTCCAGAATCGTGTGATTTTGGCATTTTTTTTTAGCCTAAGATGACTGCCATTCAGCCATCTTACAATTATGAAGTCACACAAATTCCTAGCAGTAAAAATTAAACAGTTTACTGTTGGTGGTTACTGTACCTTATACAAGACTAGTGACCTGTATATAAAATAAAATACACATGAAGTATTGGTGACAGTAAATAAAGTAGTTTTACCTTTGTTTTCTTTGATGATGTTTTCTAATAGTAACCTAGCTTTTGTGACCTTCTCCCAGGACTTCTCGGTCAACTACAATAAGTATAAAAGCAAGAAAATCACAAATCCAATAGATTCGATTAAATTCAACTTTGTAAATATATACTGAAATATATCTTATATCAGCACAGACTGGTCAACACTGAAAGTAAGCATTATATGTGGGACTAAGGGTTATCAAGACACAAATTTAATTTATTTTTCAATCACATATAATACAAATTATCCACCAAAATTAAATGGTCAGATTTGTCTATGGCATGACAGCTTAAGGTAGCGAGACTATTATTTGTGTTGAAAATTACGATTTTCACATTTATTTATTAATTGATGAAATGCACTTTCATCTGATAAAGTCAACGTAACCTAGAATGTCATGTAAGTTGGTTAAAATGTAGATTTTCTGAAGGGAAGCAAGGCAGCTTCAGTAGTGTTTTCCAAAATCAACAACACAGGTTTAATCTGTGTGCCTATAAGTTTCAAAGTTTAATTCAATGTTAGGATGTGTTATCAGTAGCTATCTGACACACAATGAGTTTCAAAAAAAATTTGAGTGGTTTGTCTCCGCCCCTGTTTATTTTACAGATTAGTCATTTGCATATAAATGTGTCAGACACAAGGTCACACAGCCACTGAAAAAAATCATTGATTTTGGTGTTTTCATCTGCCGATTTTATTGAATTATAGCTACCCCATTCCTTTATTTTTTGGTTTCCAATAGCCTTACACATTTGGATGCCCCTACACATGTTAAAACATACCTTGATGTGAAAACAAATCGCTTGTGCCAATAAACAAGCTTGAAAATCTTTGCTGTGACTTCATCAACGATTTCTAGGAGTTTATTTTTTTCAAAATACTAGGTCTTTAACAAAAAATAACGTATACTTAATAGTTGTGTTCACGTTACACGAAGTATGGGCTAAGATTTAAGCTGATTTAGGCTTATCTAGCATATTTGCATTTCGGCTAGACCCAATTGCGTCCACGCACAGGGAGGGCCAGTCGTTAGCTTGGGCTAAGGGGTGCCATTAGTCGGTGACCTTTGGTAAGCCGCTATTTATGAACGAAAAATGGATGACACATGCGAGGTTCTATTTCTGCTGCTGGCATGTTTCGTTCTAATTTTGAAGCGACGTGCACAGGAACGCGAGAGAAGACGGACCCACCTTATTTGGATGCACATAAACAGTATACAACGGTCGTAACAGAATACAGAGTTTTATTAATGCATGTCGTAGACAGCGAACCAAATTTATTTTGTCCACGATTGGAGCTGCTGTACGCTCTACTACATGA